ATGGCCTTCTGAGGTTATTTGCAAGCCGTATTGGGGACCTCTGACCATGGGATATTTCTCTCAGATGACAATTGGAGTGGCAACGTGTCTCAGGGCTAACAAAGAGGTTCACAGGGCAAATAGGGATGAGCTGATAGAATGCAGACAGCTGCTGAAACTGTCTATGCCGCAGGCTTGCTGGCCCAGGGAGTTGCCCATAAAAGGACTTTGGCCACTTTGTGGGCAAGTTCTTCCTATTGACTCTCAAAGCTGTCAGCAGCAGATCCATAACTTCTCCAGTGCACTGGCAAGCCTGAGCACTCACCAGGTTCAGAATTATGGCTACACAGACTCAAGGAAGCAAGTGCTGGATCCTTCTTTGTCTACTTTCATTTGTCTTTGCTGTCAGGGGACACTGAAAGTGCAAAATGAAAATCTATCCTGGGATGCTCTTGCCCATGTAATATCTTACTCTGAGTGTTTTTCTTAGCAAAAAATCAGATATGTGGGCTCTTTTCAGTAACCCTTGAAGAGCAATCCTGTAAGTGCTGAATCCATAGCTGATTTATAGAGTTATCTATCCTTAAAATTAAGTCCTAAGTGAAACGTTTGGATGACTGATTCATACATAGTGTCTTTGCATATCAGACTCTAACGTGGTATGTGGTATTGACAAACATGGTGGAATTGAGGAAATGCTACACTAGAGATGAATACCATTATCTTTATTAAGGTTTTACTTTTAATTACAAAACTATTTCTCTATTTTATCATAATAATCAGACTAGGATCTACTGATCACTCTATAGTGTTATTATAAAAGAACATTAGTCTTGACAGTCTCAAAGGTGTGTAAAATTATAGATAGCTAGATTTTGAGATTTAAGGAGAACACTCGAGACATCTCAAAAAGGGAAAAACCATCAGGTGTACTTTCATGGTTGCTGTGGTTTCCCTGAGACAGCAGCCAAGCCCCATGCAGCCACTCACTCACTCCCCCACTAGCAGGACTGGGGAAGGAATTGGAAGGGTAAAAGCTGGAAAACTCCTGAGTTGAGATAAAGACAGTTTAATAGGGAAAGCAAAAGCCACGCACACAAACAAAGCAAAACAAGGAATTAATTCACTGCTTTCCATGGGCAGATAGCTGTTCAGCCACATCCAGGAGAGCAGGGCCCCATCACATAAAGTGGTTGCTCAGGAAGACGAACACCATCACTCCAAACTTCTTCCCCTTTCCTTTTCTTCTTACTTTATATACTAAGCATGATGTCATATGGGCTGGAATATCCTTTTGGTCAGTTGGAGTCACCTGTCCTGGCTGTGTTTCTTCCCAGCTTCTCATACACCTCCAGTCTCCTCACCAGCATGGCAGTATAAGAAGCAGAAAAGGCCTTGGCTCTGTCTAATCCCAGCTCAGCAATAACAAAAATCATGTCTATATTATCAACCCACTGTTCAGAACAAATCCAAAACATAGTCCCGTACTAGCCACTGGGAAGAAAACTAATTCTACCCTAGCCAAAACATACACAATGGTAACGTATCTCTTACAATACAGAGCACTCTGGAACTGTGAAAACCCTATCACTTATGCTGGGCCTGAGTGCTAGCACCATAGTTCATGTTTTGTAGTCTTTCACTTAGAAGGTATGACTAAAATTATATCTTTATATAACTGAATTCCCACCTGAGGATGTTGGAGATTCCCCACCGCAGGAGGAGCTGAAGTACCTCTTCTATGAGGAAAGGCTAAGAAAATTTGGATTGTTAATCTGGAGAAGAGAAGGCTTTCGGGTGACCTGATTGTGGCCTTCCAGTACCTGAAGAAAGCCTACAAGAAAGATGGAGAGGGACTTTTCACAATGGCATGAAGTAAAAGAATAAGGGGAAAGGGCTTCAAACTGAAATAGAGTAGATATTAGGAAGTAGATCCTTTATTAGGGTGGTGAGGCACTGGAACAGGTTGTCCAGAGAAGTTGTGGATGTCCCATCCCTGGAGGTATTCAGTTCTGGGCTGGATAGGGCTCTGAGCAGTCTGGTCTAATGAAAGGTGTTTCTGCATATGGTGGGGGTTTGGAACCAGATGATCTTTAAGGTTCCTTCTAAATCAAACCATTCTGTGATGTTTTGATTCTAAAGTACAAAATCTTGTATTTATCACCTGCTTCAAAACTGCTGTCAAACTACATGATATGGGTAAACTGATTTAGCTGTGAGGATTGCAATATGATACAGAAAGCTCAGAATCTGCTTTTGGAAACTAATAAAATCACAGTTGCAGGTACCGTTAACTTTAATCCATCTTGATAATAAAACATATTCTAACAAGCTTTTATGTGTGTTTGAACTCCTTTATCATTTTTAAATGAGTTCACAGACAGGATCAATTTTCAAATTCTCTTTTATTTTCAAAATATAAAAATCAAGAGACAAAAACATTTATGCAAAATGGAAGTTGCATGCATTATTTCTATTATGAAAGTGTTTGTTTCCTCTAGAAAGGTGGTAAAAATAAGAATTTTCATTTATCAGTCATCATTCAATTAAAAAATCCCAGTTAAAATATTATTTAAATCACACTTTGAAACTTTATAATAAGTTTGTGTGAAGTTTCTGGACACTACAGATAAATCTCACCTTTAGAGAAATCCTTATATACAAACGTATTATATTCTCTTAATGTTGAGCCCTTAGGACGATATATATATATATATGCTATTTTATTCCTATAGTCTAAATTCTGTATAGAATATAAAATTTTACATTTTAAAAATATGCGTGTAGTAGTAATCTTTTTAGTAAAGAGAACAGCAACCGAAATATCAGAGTTGCAATCAATACATTTTTTGACCATACCATAACTTTTCAAATTATATTAAACATCTGGAACTTGCCATTTATAAATCAAAAGCAAATTTACAAGGTTTGAAAATGTTATTTTCTTTGCTTATGATGAGAACTAAGGACTCAGAGATGTCATTACTTAAATTTTGAACAAGATGTTCTTGCCAGAGCAGGGAATAAGCTAGAGGTGAAATTCAGTCTTTCTTGAAATTGGAGAGAATCCACTATTGACATTTTAAGAAAGTCAACATTTGTTTCATCCTTCTTGGCTACAGGTGAGTACCTGCTGTCTAGTGCTTCAAAGGCAGTTCTTTGGGGCATGATCACTCTGGTGCTGAGAGGATATCCAGCTTCATCTCACAGTGTTTTGCAGCACCTTTTAAGTTTGCAATAAACCATTAGAATCCTTTATGTGCACTGACTGTATCTTGCTCTTGGCTTGGCTTGTACAGTGTGTCTTACTGCAGAGATGTAATGATTGCGTCTATTTGTTATGTTAGCTGTAGGGTAAGTTATTCTAAGAAATATGATACTGCCAGTTATACATTCAAATCTTTTTTAAAAAGTTGCTCTAAGGGGTTGATAAGGTGTCATTACAGACATATTGTCCACAGGAGTCGACAATTCAGTAGTATATATCTTCCTTTAATTTTATTTGCTAAGTTTTACATTTATTTTGTCAAATACATACTGTTGCCTATCAGAGAAACATCAGTGACACAAATCAGCAAAGATGTTAAATCTGTTTGTATTGGAAATTGTAAAATTTTTCTCAGAAACAAGAAGGCAGTAAAAAATCTTGAAAATATTTCATTGACATTCCCTCTAAGTGACAGAAAAAGGTCTGGACAATTACTTTTATGAAACAACCCTAAAAAGCACATTACAAAGCCTCATCCGAAAGCACAAACACAGAAATACAGGATTTTTATTGGGGTTTTCAATGGAAGCAGAGCAACACAAGTTGAATACAATCACATGCTAAAGAGCTATCAGAAGACACAATGAAACACTGCTTAGAAAATACTCATATAAAAATTGAGCTGTCAAAATAGTAGGTCTAGCTCAATGCACTAAGTTTCATACCATCAAAGACAAGATGAGACAAATATTACCCATATTTCACACTGTTCCCATCTAGATTTGGCTGAGATTAGTCACAACAGTATATGTTTTAGTGTAAAATGTTCAATATCCTAATCTGCTATGCTTCTAAACCCTTTTAGGAAGGCTGTGTGATAAACTAATGCCCAACTGTCAGGAGATTTTCCTGGGGTCTAAAGGTGCACTTTGCCACCTTAAATTTGTCAAATTGTCCTCTGCTGATTCCTCCAGTCTGAACATCTCTCTTTTCTGTTATTGTCACACATTTAATTCACAGGCAAGTGAATCAGTTTTTAACTTCAAAAAATCTCTCCAGATATTTTATTCTCTGATCTATCTCTCAAAGACCAAAAGTAGCTATTTTAGGGGGTTTTTACCTGGTATTTTAAGAACAGAAAACAGTAATTTACATGTTTACCAAACTTATCTCATGCAGTGATTCCCCACATGAAACTCAAATTATATGGTTTGCAACAAAAATGTGTCCTGAATGGCAACTTGCACTTCATTGTCACTTGTATTATCATAGAACTATTTTCATATCTTTTCTTAACTTTTCACTTTACCTTTCAATGAAAATTTTTTGAAGTTTTGCTCCATAATACAATAATATTCTTAAAGAAATATTTGGCTGCATTTGAAATCTACCCAAACCACTTTTGTTCCATGATTGTCTCTTTATATTTCTAAGTCTGTGGTCTGTTGACCCTTGTTGGATGCCAGGTGCCCACCAAAGTTTGTCTGTCACTCCCCGCCTCAACTGGACATGGGAAAGAAAATATATCAAAAGGTTCCTGGGTCAAGATAAGGACCAGGAAAGATCACTTACCAATTACTGTCATGGGAAAAACTTAAGGAAACTAGTTTAATTTATTACCAGTCACATCTGAGTAGGATAATGAGAAATGAAACCAAATCTTAAAAACACTTTCCTCTCACCCCAGCCTTATTCCAAGACTTAAACTTTACTCCTGAATCTCTACTTCATCCTCCAAGAAATACAGTTTGATGGAGAATTGAAGCTGCAGTCAGTTCATCTCACATTGTCTCTGCCACTGCTTCCTCCTCAGGGAGAAGACTGCTCACACTCTTCCCCTACTCCAGCATGGTGTACCTCCCACAGGAGACAGTCCCCTACCAACTTCTCCCAAGGTGAGTCCTTCCCATGGGCTGCAGTTCTTCACAAACTGCGCCAACGTGAGTCTCTCCCACGAGGCACAGTCCTTCAGGAACAACAACAACATCTGCTCCAACATGGGTCACAAGTCCTGCCAGCAAACCTGCTCCAGCATGGACTCTACTCTCCAAGGATTCAGAGGTCCTGCCAGGAGCCTGATCCAGCATGGGCTTTCCAAAGGGTCACACCCTCCTTCAGGCATCCACTTGTTCTGGCCTGTGGTTCTTCCATGGGTTGCAGATGGATATCTGTTCCACTGTGGACAGCCATAGGTGTGGCCTGCACTGCAAGCTGCGGGGGAATCTCTGCTTCAGCAGCTTGAGCACTTTCTTCCCTTCATTTTTCCCTGACTTTGGTGTCTGCAGGACTGTTTCTCACACTTATTCTCACTCTTCTCTTCTCCAGCTGCTGTTGTGCAGCAGTTTTTTTCCCCTTCTTAAATCTGTTATTCCAAAGGTACTACCACCGCTGCTGACAGCCTTGGCCCTGGTCAGCAGGAGGTCCAGTTTGAGCCAGCTGACCTTGGCTCCATCAGACACAGGGGAAGTTTCTCACAGCTTCTCAGAGAAGCTATCCCTGTAGCCCTCTCCTCTACCAAAACCTCGCTAAGCAAACCCAATACAAACTCTCAATTTAAATTAATTTATAAATGTTATTGAAGATTTATTATTCCCCTTTTTTGAACAATATTTGGATGTGCTAAAATTGCAAGAAGTATTTATCACTTTAATATCTCTCCACAGGTCAATAAGTCATTTATTATATTTTCAGTATGTACTCTTTAGGAAGATGTATCCTTTCTTGTTTAAGGGGATATGAATTGATAGTGAGAACAACCAAATTTTATTGTCATAAAAGTTGACTATTGCAAGTACTTTATAGCTGCAAATGTCTATTAGTTCATATTTCATATAACAATAAAATGTGCTTTACTGTAAAATATTTTCTAAAAAATATTAACAATTTGATGTTTATGGCCTTTTTAGTACAAAGTAAGCTTGGATGTGCAATATATCTATGAACATTTGCTCCTTTGCTTTTGCAACACAGAAATTGCATTGAGTAACCAACTTCTTGCTTTGAATTTTGATGCAGCTGTTACTTTTCTAAAATCCCACCGTTCATTATCAATTTTCTTCACAACTTTTAAAAATGCTTCTTAGTGGTGCAGTAAGTGACAGGTTAGCTAACCTTCTTAATGGTCTAGAAGGATTAGGTAACCTGCACATGTTCTATTTTAAGTACTTTTTTTCCTCTTAGCGAGCTATTTCTACCACCTTACTTTGATACCTCATTCATTTTTTCAGTAATTTAATTTAGTTACTCTCATCTGATATGCAAGCTATGTTATATTTTGGAACATTTTTCTCTTATATATTCATGAGAAATCTTTCTTACTTTTTTCTACACTTTCATTAATCCTAGTGGGCTGTACATATTATGTATTAATAATATTAGATTACTCCAGAGTATGATTTCATAATTATTTGGAATGTTTGTTGCACTCATTAGTTTATGAGCTGTATGCACTGCTACAGTTGAAACAAAGCATCTAGGCAGCACCAGGAAAATGGCATTTAGAGGAACAAACAAGGGAGTAGTTCCCAGGAACTCTCCTTGAAGATTTGAATGATGCTTGGAACAAAAGCAATGTCTACATGAACATCCTGGTAGCACAAAAAAGAAACAGTTATGAGTCTACCACTCATTAGATACACAGCTTTGCTCCAAGCAGAAGATGGACTTCAGATTTCAGCAGATATTAACATTTGATAGGGAAGAATAAGTACTGGCTTGACTGTAGGAAAGATTAAAAATTCAGCTGGAAACTATAAACTTGTCTGGTTCTACATATGAACATATGTATTGCATGTTCTGCATTCAGATTCATTAAATATTAAAAAACTATTGAACATAAGAAAGATTAATGTTGAGTTGATTCAAATAAGCAGAAACTGAGGATAAAAATGTTGCTTTTTTAAAAAGGAAAACAAAAACAAAACCAAAGAGCTTTTTTGTTCCCTTTACAATTTTGATATTGGAATTAACTGAAAATGTCAACCTTTGGAATAATATTCCTGTGTACTTATGTTGTTTCATAGCTTTCTTCTCCATACTTTTTTAGGCAGATAAAGCACAGGTAGCCACTAGAAAAAGAATTCCTGCATCAGCTGAACCTGAGCTTCAAGGTAGGGCTACAACACAGGAAAGAAAATGAGGAGACACCACTTGTAGTGTAGTGATAAGAAAGAGACAAATGTTGAAACATTCTCTACTACTATTGGACGTTTTACACCAGATGGAACTAAAGAAGAGGCAACTACAGCCTGATAGTATCACTTAAATCTGGATTTCTACTGCTCTGCCATGAACTGATCTGTGGCGTGTCCTTAACATCTTACTGGTCATGATACAGAGTAGAAGGTGCACTTGTACTCATGTTTGGCATTGAAACTCTCCTACATGTTGCTGTTAACACGATAACCACACTATGGGTCTCAGCTGAATAACAAAAATAAACCCCGTTAATGAGTAGTAGTAAAGCCTAAAATCTTTAACACTGGGAATAATTTACAGCATAAGCCAATTAATGTTGCCAAATGTCAAATGACTTCCCCAGGGTGTGTACGTAGGTAACTGCAGTAGCTCCAGTCCTTTTGTATATCACTCCTCTGCCAGTCTAGTTTCAGTCTATTTCATACAGTTTCTTTAAAGGTGACCATTTTTACTTTAAATCCACTGTTGTTCACAACAGGTAGATTTTGTCCCCTGTCCTAGATTTCCGATGTCATTGATGTTTGCCTTTTGTTTTCACTGGACATATATGTGCACATGCCAAGCTGCAGCACAAATAGACCTTTAAAGATCAGGGCCATTAAATGTCTCCAAAGTTGTAGACCTGAGGCTTTTCTTTGACCTTTTAGGATGTAAATTTTCAATCTTTTCTAATATTAAGCAGTAAGTATAGGGGCAGAAACAAAGACTTTTCAGTGCTGTGCAGGGAGTGGAAGTTCAAACTTGGGACTTGCACTGAAGGATGTCTGCATGTGATGCCCATGCCAGGGGGTACCTAACCCTTCACTCTGTGAACTTGGGGCAAATGGATGAAATTTTAGCCATACTGCTATCTTGTTACTTTATCAAAATAAAGCAGTGTCCAGGTTTCAGGCTTCAAAACTCCCCTTGAACTATGTAGATCTGTTCTGAGATTGTTTCTACTGCAAAGGACTTTTTTACATTCCTGACAAGATTTAGTCAAGCAGTAGAATAGTAAATTTCTGAACAACCCTTCGTCTTCCAACTCATAATTTAATTCCCAACCCATAATTTAATTCCTACCCCATAATTTGATACTTGATGACACTCCTATGTGTACCTACATGCCCTCCATAGGAGTTTGCTCAATAGTGCTATTAGGGACAGATTTCACTTTTCAAGCTTCACATTTCCAGTTCAGTCATTTCATGGTTTTCCTGTTCCTTTCATAGCAGTAGGCAGCTATCCTTTAAACAGCACTCTTTGAGGGCCCTTTACTCCAAATGGTAAAAACTACTGGTCTGTGACAACATGATTTCTGAGTGGGAGGGGATTCTGAATCCATTACCTTTTCACAGGAGAGTTCATGCATTTCACATTAAGCAGCAAAAGAGGTCTTGAAGTGAATCTCTCATCCAGTGAGTAGTGTACACATGTTTCAGATGCCACACAAGCTCTGTATTCAGCTTACTAATTAGGCTGCTCATTTTGTCCCTTCGCCTTCCTTCTGGCCCTTTGGAGAAACAGTTTTTAAAAACAGTCTGGTAAGAATTAAATTGGTGCTTGGAAAACTTTTTCTGAAAATGGCCTTTGTTTCTTTTTGCCTGGAGAGACTTGGTTAAAGATAAGAAATGTGTTAAGTGACAATTCAAAAATTAATGATATGTGAACTCTATTCTGGGACAGCCAGAGTATTTGGATTAGAATTGGTGTTAGCCTCCAGCAAATCTCTGTAGAAGCTCTACTGTAGTCTCTTGACTCTTTTTTGGAGTGTACTTCCTTCATTTATCCTCCTTCCTGAAATATATTTTTTTAATAAAGTATGCTGAAGAAGTCATGTGGATAGCAAAGAAGCACAAAAAAAGTGTTGAAAGGTGGGGGTTAAAAATGTATGAAATCTGTCTGGTTTTCCTCACCCAATTAAGAGAGTCTGTTATACAGTCTGCATACGCTGCCTGTGGCATTTCCCAATCCTCTCTAAAGATTTTGAACCAAACGACTTTTGAGAAGAGGCTGAGAGATTGTGGTTTGGTAAATGTGAAAAACGAACTGCAGAGCATGGGGTCTTTTTTTTTTTTTCTTCTACTACTCAATGAGTAGTTAGAGTGAAGGGGCAGAGACATTGGTTGAAGATACACCCTGAAAGTCTGAGATGTAGCAGGCACCTATTTCAGCAAAGAACATTTCAATTACATCTAACAAAAAATTTTCTCAGTGTTGGCCAAATCATTTACCCAGAGATTTTTTTGGAACATCCCACTTTGAAGAGATTGTAAAGTCAACTGGACGAGGAAATTACTAGCTACAAGTAATTTTTACTTTGGCCCTACTTTGGGCAGGATTTTGGATCAGACAAGATTCACAGGTTCCTTCCAACCTCAATTACTCTTTTTTTCAATAATTTAGCAGTAGATCCTATGTCTGAGGTATGATTTAGAAACAAGGAATATATTTATCAAATCATGTTCCCATTTCATATTTTCTATCTGGTTTTTAACTTTCTCTTTTATTTATTCTGCAACTCTGACATTTGTGGTACAACACTGTTGGGAAAAACACCTTTCTTGACATGTCAAAATTATTTCCTTGATTGCTTAAAACTCCTCCTTTACCTACATAAGAATAATGGAAATGTTTTGAAGATATGGTATTTCCTATGAAAGTGCACGTTATAAAGTAAAATAAAAATGTTTACAAGAATTGAGATAAATAATTAGGAAAAAAAACCTGCATAAAAGAAATTTTGAAAGCTCACCACACCTGAATGTTTTGCCTTTATATAAATTTTTTATCAGATCAACCTGATGTGCTCTCCACGCTGTTAAGAAAGTTTCTTACCTTACTACAAGACTCCAGTGTTATGAAGATCAAAGAGCTAATAAACATTATCACACCCAGTTACAGTTACAGTACTTCAGAGAACAGTAGGTAGTACTTAATCACGTAGGGAGGGCATGCAGCCCTTGTGGTTCTCAGGTATTTCCCACTATGACACTCAGAGCTCAAGCACATCTTAATTTCACTGTGACTTTAAATATTTGTATTGATTTTTATGTACCATAGCGCTGTCTCAAGTGTAATGTTGTCTGAACAACTTCAGGTAACATTCTTTGTCAATTTTCCAGAATGATAATAGATGGAAAATTGTTGTTCTTTGTTCTGTAATGACAGGTTCTGCTTAACTTTTTCGTGTGCAAAAGCTGTACGAACACTACCCTCTGGAAGAGAAACTTGTATTTTGTACCATAGTCTGAATAAATATGTATGGATTTAACAACTTAAAGATTAAGCTCTGCTTTGACATGATTAGAGAAAGCAAAATACTCAAAAGTTCCCACCATCTTGGGCCAGATCAGGTTTTTATCTGCCGTGAGACCTCTGTGCCGCAGTGGAGTGTAGGTTAGTCCAGGTGGGCAGGGCTCGTGCCAGCAGCATGGTTCTTTGCCCACTCAGAGCAGCACAAAGGAAATCCCACATCTGACTGAGGGGAAAGATACAGAAAAATAAATGTATCTTCTCAAAGAAAAGGCAGATGTTAAAGTATAAATTCTGCAATTAAAAATAATTTAATAAACAAATACCTATGAATACAAGACTCTCACTGACCACCAAGGTGGCCTTCCTGGCTTATCAATTGCCTTTGTATCCCACTGTGTGACTTGTAACATTTTTACAATCAAATTATTTGGATTCCTAAACCTATTTTGAGGTACAAAGAATCCTGACTTTATTTTTCAGTTTGGACTACTAAGTTTTATGTTAGTTAATTGCCATAGCTTAATCACCTGGACTTTTCACTTAGTCCTTACTTTATATATATTTTAGAAACTAAAACTGTTTATCTAACCTAAAATATACATATATCTATAATATTTAATATAAAAGAAATGTCAATGACTCATGAGGGTTTTTTTGTTGTTTTTTTTTTTAACTGCAAACACTTTTCCATAATCATTACATGTGTTTCCAAGTTCACAAATAAAATATGTTGTATACTTCCTCGTCCATGTTTGTTTGCTACAAATTTTTTAAGCTGCTGAACCCAGTACCTCATTTGAAAGTGACTGTCAACTCATAAGACTATGGTGATTTGTTTTAAGCAGAAGATTGGTGGATTATTAGAATATGAAAGTTTTCTAACTTTTCTGCAGGCTCAAACCTTTCTATGAGCAGTTGCAACTGAAAATGACAATAGCTCTGAAATTGTTAAACCAAAAAAATGAACTGCAGAAAAAGGTCAAGATTTGTTGCTGAAGTACAAGCACTTCCTTCTAGAAAACAAGCCGGTTTTGTTCTTGTTAGCAAGGTCATGCTGCCAGTTCATTTCATCCAACTTTAAGAAACTGCTTTTAACACACTCAGTTTATTAGATTTAGGGCTTTGAGCTTATATAGATTGTTGTGGCACCAGCAAACCTCTGGACCTACGTCAGCTTTGGATCTGGTGCCTTTTTTTTTTTTTTCCTTGTGTCTTGCCACATAAATAAAAGTGCTTATGACAAGATTTCTTCTCACAGGATTTTGCAGGTCATGGATAGAGTCACCAGCAACAGGAACTCACTGAAATAATTTGCAGATTCTTGTGAAACAGGATATGCTGCTATGTTCTTCCCATCTGCAAAAGGCAGCAATACAGTCCCAATGACAATAGAAGATGATCTACATGTGGCTTTTTAAGGGATCCTGCCTGCCACAAGCATCCAGTATGGACTGGTAAGAAAATATACACACCTGCCTGACCACTTGTGTCTCCTCCCGATCTGCTTCCTCCCTCTAGGAGGTGCCAAATGCAAAAACAACCAGAAATTCCTGTAGGAAAGGATCAAACCTGAAACTTAATTTGGCTTCCAAATTTTTGGAAGTAGGTCAAATAAGAAAGTGGACAAGTCATTGTGTGTGTGTTGAATCCAAGGGTGCAGCCATTCTAAGTATAAACCTCATGTCTCTACAGCCCCCATGTGTGACCTGGGTTCAGCCTGACTGCAGAGACAGGTAAGGTTTGAGAAGATGCTGGGCTGGAGCCACCAAATGTCGGGTAAGGCATTCCATGGCCACAGGTGCTAAGGCCATAACAGCTGGTATCTCCCAAATTCACAGCCCCTGCTATGAAGAAGTGAAAAAATGAAAAACAAAGGGAAAAAGTGATTAGGGGGAACCTATTGTGGCTAACTCAACAAGACCAAGGCTCAGTCTTCTTTAGTCTGAAGCAACAGCTCACCAATCTGTCCCTGACTGAGAACTGCCTGCAAAAGTGCTTCATCCAGCATGAGAAACATATTAGTGCTTAGCCTGACACTGTGTTGGCCTTGGCCATCTATTGCATGCATTACTCTCCAATAAATAACTGCTGTGCTCTCTGTGCTGTGCCCATACTGCTTGTAAAGCCTCTCTGCATATGATAAAATGTGCCTGAACCAAGGTGACTCATGAGGGAGAGAAATGTGTGCTGTTGGCATGAAGATTACTGTCAACTTCAATGTTTGCATTTCACTATAAATATTTTGTTTTTTGATAAAATAATTATAAGGAGGGAATGGGGAGATAAAATTAATGGGAAGGGACAAAGGAGAGGGGAGGAAGAGAGAAAAGCAAACCAGAAATGTCTCTGAACTTCACCTTAAGCACGGGTTGTTAATATGATATTGTACTCAAGCCAAGAGTGTATTGAGGCATGAGCAGAGATCTCCATCACATACAGAAGGTTGCTGAGAACTCTGTAGTGCTCCACAGATTATCCAGCAGCCCTACTGATGCAGGGTGGGCATTTGTCCCCAGCATGTGGCATGGAGGGGTGCACGGACACCTTCAAATACAGTCTCCCCTGAGGCTCACACCAGGGTTGAGAACAGATGAGGGAAGACAGGAAAAGAGCAGGATTTGGGATAGAGAAGGAAAAGAGAAAAGGAAAGAAAAGCAACCTACCTTAAAAAGAGAGATAGTTGTCCCACAGTGGAACAGAGGTAGGATAATTTTAATTTTGTCACATTTTTCTTTGTTTAATTGTATGTAGACATAGAGAGATATTACAGATGAGGTGATTATCAGGTAAAACGTTAACCTTTAGTATTCCATACTCTTAAATGCTAAACTAGGCTTGAAGTATAAAGTTTCCTTTTTTTCCTAAAGCTGCCATAGATGAAACACTGATCAAAGAAAATTATACACGGATCAAAAAAAAAATCTCCCTTGTAATGAATCTGAGTGTATTTTCTTTCAATACTGAGAGAAATTCTGTGTGCAATATGACACAAAACAGATCATTCAGTTTCTTCTACTACAAAGCTCCATGGAGCATGGAAAATCTCAGATACATCTCATTAGCTTTTCTGCATGTGGGTCTCTAATTATGAAGTGCTATAATTGATCATTTTCCTTTTCAAATTAATTTATAACATAAGAAGATTTGATTGCGGAAATGTACAAAAGGAATACTTTGGTTTGACCTTACAGCTTGTTCCAACTCCTTGGCTGGTATCCATGAGGATCATTAAAATCAATTAAGGAGTTAAGTACAGGACATCTATTGTTCTGCCCCAGAATCAATAGACCCTTTCAAATCTTCTATAATTCTAGGGATCACAGCAGACAGTTTAAAGAATTACTCTTTTGTAGAATCATAGGTTCTCATCCTGCATATGATGGCTTTGTTAGGTTTACTTGCCTCTTTAAAGGCAAACACATAGACTTTTGGAGATTGGAAATATAGCATGATCTTTAGAAGTGGTATGCAATCCACATTCCATCTCTGATACTACAGATATGCTGACTGAAAACTAAAGTATAGCTCATCTCTTTGCTACAATCAGTTTAATTGAAATTGTTGAATATTCATCCTGCTAATGGCTGGTCATTTGTAGCTGCAGCTATATTTAGAAAAAGAAAAAAAAGAGATATTTGTATCTAAGTAACAAAGATGTGGCCCACGTCATAGCTCCACGTCTGGATCAGCTGGTGGCAGTCACTGCTGCAAATGAAATAAGAAACATGGGGAAGGACAGACTAAAACTGTTCTTAAGGCCCAGAAGCTAAACTATTGTAATAATTACTTGGAGCCAGAATAAGCTTGACTTGTTTGGTGAAATAGGATTATTTCACAAGAAGCGCCTTTTCTTGCAGAAACTGTAAATTCAGAGCTGGGGCAGTGTTCACTCTTATTTGTATAGCACCTCACAAATGGGACTGATAGTGCCTGGGGATATCAGTGCTAATGCTGGGTAAATGTTAAATGATTCCTTTTATTATATATGTATATGGCATTTTATTATTTAGTGGCTATTACTAGGCTTTGGAGGAACTGGTGCTAAATGTAATTTGTTTCAATCACAGTGAAATATTGCAGACCACATAGCCATGCTGAAAACTAAGGATGAATAGACTATAATACCACACACCTTATTCACATCTTATTTATTACCAAGTTTAATAAATATGAAGGAGAAAGAAATGAGGAAAGAAAATTATCTAAAATTGATGCCTATCGTTACATTCACACCTTATTTATGGGCTCAGAGAAAGCACATCTTACATTTGTAGAGACAAGAACTTATTGCTCATATAATCAAAATTGACAAAGTCTAATAGTTTTTCATCCACATCTAATTGTTGTGGAAAAAGAAAGAAGGATAGAATTAGCAATGGTATGCACACATCTTAGTTTCTACCCCGTTTCCTGGGGTTATGTTCTGCTGTTCCCTGCTCTGGCAATTGGAAGTGTTGTGGCAAGCTCTGAGCATCTGGAGTCCTTTACCTGGAGGAACATTGTGTTTGTGTTGATGGTTTCACATCACTTGGAATCCTTCTTATATGTTTACTGTCATGTTTTCATACCTCACTCTTTCCCTGTTGGTGTGCTGGTCCATGTTATGTCCAAACTTATTGCATATGGTACCTTTTTTTCTATTTTAATACTATTCTGTGTTCTCTTTTGGACACCTAAGTTTGCATTTCTTTGACTAGCCGTGGCTGAGCAGTTTGTAGCCTTGTAATCTCTAGCACCAACTTCTTCCCCATCTCATCATGCAGCTGCATTTGGTTCCTCCACTTCTCAAGGCTGCTGTCTCACCAGCCTGTGGTTAGATATGTAACATCATTGTGTTTAGAGTCATCAGATCATGATGGCACAATACAAATACAGAACAAAGGAAAACAAATTAGCTGTAGACAACCTGCAATTATGAATTATGTTGTTACAGCTAAACCTCGTTAAAGCAAAGCTTCTGGCAGGTCAATAAAAGTTCAGACAGAGCAGGCATGACAATCCTCAGACCTGAGACCTTGCAAAGAACACTTATGGCCACTTGTTAGCAAAGATGATACTATATTGTAGACCCGCAGGTTAATACTATTTGCTACATGCAAGTTCAGCAGTAAATCTTATAAAATTAATATTTTCTTTATCTGATAAAGATGAAGTTCAGCATTAGTACGTTGTCAGCCCACAGTGAGACATAATTCAGTTTTTCTACTGAAAAACCAATTTGCATCTGTTTTCATATTCAGTCAAAGGACTCCTAGGCACTGATTGTGTAATAAACCATCATAGGTGTCTACATTAAAAAAATGAGTAAAATATCAGTGAATATACTTTACTTTATAATGTGACGTCTGACTTACTTAAGTATAAGACTAAACATAAGCATGATATATCTCATAGCCCATAATACTGTCTGTATTTATTATCATCCACAGTTTAAGGGTAATTTGAAAGAACTTTCTCAATTTGTGGGAAGAAGTGCTCAATTTCTACACTGACAGTGTGAAGACATTAAAAATTAGACTGCTTTTCTCAAATCAGTAGGTTATTCCTGTTCCTCTTTGCATCTGAAGTTCTCAGTCTAATGCCCCATCAGACTGAAGTCAACTCTGCTGCCATCTGGGCGGAGGTAAAGATGAGTACCTCTTCCATCTGTAGACACCTAGCCAAGCAGGGACAGGGGGGACACCCAGGACTGGGCAAGGGGAAGGGAAAATGGCAGGACAACCTCTCCTTTGCCACCAGTCTCTGGGGGTTACAGGGAGAGATCCTCTCTTCTTTGGTCATAGGTAAAGGTACAAACACTACTCCTATGGCAGGTGCACAGCAAGGATGGTGAGAAGCTGGAAGGATCTCTACTGTGGCCCTTGTGAAGAAGCAGGACTCTCTTCCCCTGAGCTGTGCTCCCAGGCTTCCCTGCTGGCATGACCACTTCTCTGCCCTTTTCTTACAAGCAGCTTTAAATGCCTCTCTTCCCTAGGCGGGCCCCAGGAACATTTCTAAACTCGATGTGTGACTGCCAAAGCGAGAGGCAGGAGCTAAGCACCCTGCTGCTCCTTGGCTTGCCCTAGCAGCTAGCTGGGAAACTGCAAAATGCTGACAGCTGAAAATCCATCATTAAAATGTTCTTCGGCATCAGTTTTTCTTTCCCCTATCACCAGCAAGCCCCCAACATCAAGACAAACAGGGTGACCCTGACAAAGAGCTGACTATTGGCTTGTGTGTGCCAGCTATCAGGTTTTATTACCACTGTTTTCTGTCTTAGCAGAGCTATTTCTAATTGTGTGTCAAGAACATTTCCTGCCTCAGAAAGCAGTAATCTATTTTGTAAAGAAATAAGGTACCTCCATGAGCCAGAGTGTCTTTCTTCCCTAATAGTACTTTGAGGGTTCTCTGCACAAGCCCCAGATTCCAAAATTTTGTATTGCTTAAATACTTCAGATTCAGCAGAAACTGCAGGCTTCCCCTTGTAACCTTCATTTGAAACACCTGACATTATAAGGGGCAGGATACAAGCAAACACACTTGGGGAACAAAGAAACTTTGGCAAGAAATCCTCCTTTAATATTCATTATTTTAGATCATTTGTGTGCAGTGTGAAAAGCTTCACTATGGAAAAATAAAATTCTGCATCCATTTCTTCTATGGAGCAAACATTACAAGGACTGCTCTGCATTTTGTAATAAAATGACTGTTGTTTCTTCCACTCTAGCATTTTGATGTTTCAGTTTGTGCTATATTTCCCTTACAGAACCCATGGGAAGGACATTTGAAGCTCAGAACCCATGTTGAGAAAAAGACCTGCTTATCTATGATATAATGCATTCCTTAAAAAAGCAAAAGGATGCTTCTGAATACCACCAGAGTTTAGACTTTTTTTTTTTGAACATGTTGAAATTTTCCAGAAAATCCTGAGATCCCACTTTTCTATTGTGCAATTTCCACACCCAAGTTGTTTACTGTGAATGTTTTTCTTTGGTAACTCTTTATGCCTGGAAGATATGAAATTTTACAGACCTAAGAAAGCAACCATTATGTTTTCCAGCATTAAAGACTGTTTTTTCCTACTTCCTCATTGTGTTTTTAAGCTTAAATTTCTTTCAACCTTTTTTATTTTCTTGAGAACTTAGACATATAGTACCTTATGTTACTCCTATAGATCATAAATTTTCTCCTTATAATTTTACCTTTCATGCAGTTTGCACTATGATATTCTATGTAAACCCTTGAGTACTTCAATTTCTACATATATTTCAGCTCTCAAAAACACATATCATAATATTTTATTTTCAATGTTTACTACCTTTGCAGAGGAAAAAACCCTTATTGTTTTAATCAACCATCTGCTGACACATTTTTTTTTCTTTTTTATATTACACAGATTACAAGCCTTGAATGGAAAAATCTATTGGATAATAAAATCTTTGAAGAACCTAACCATAAAAATTTAATGTAGTATACATACATTTCTAAATGGTGTGTGCTGCAGCTAAAATAGAGGATGTAAAAATCCTTATTTTTCAACTCTTATTGTTAAATTTGTAAGAAAATAAAATTAAACTTAGCTGAATTAAAAATTTCCTATTTAACTCCATTTCCTCAGCTGTTATTTTTTTCTGAAAAAAACTTCAACTAAGGGTTGCCAAAATATTTTATAGCAAAACCTGAATACCTGAATGATAATGATATATGATAGCAAATGTACATATTCTCTTTGACTACTCTGCAATAAATATAAGGAAAAGCTATATAACCCTAATGGAGAACATCTCTCTCTTATGTGATATTTCCATTTGCAGGATCAAAATAATCATGTTGTAGCAATATAGAAAAAATAGTTCAATATTTTTTTCTCTTACGTGTGTAACTGTCTCCCAAATGAAATATGGACATCTGCTTATTACAGCCTCTCAACTTGTCCAGTAAGAAAAGGTACTTTGTATATTTAATTCTACATAGGAGGGAAACCTCCCTCTCAAATGATCTTGAACGGGAACTTTGAATGCAAATTTCCTTCCTACACAAATTGAAAATAAGAAAATAGAAATAATCGTAAGTGCTTGTTTAAATTGGCAAGAAAAGGAGTAATTTCCCAGAATTTTTTCCCAAATTTGGTATCAACAAAAGCTTTGTTTACATAACTTTCTAAAGCCAAGTCTCCCATCTCACCCTCATTTCATGATAAACTTTAGCCAATACAATAGGATATTGCTAAATGAAGCAAAGCCAAAGTTCAAGAGGCTTTGTCAATGGAAGCAACTCTCCTGCATTTTGTCAGTGTGCTTGTATTCGCACTTTCTTTCTGTAGCTTCTTATCCATGGGAACAGTTAATATACATTTCAACCATATCCCATTTTCTTATCCTACTCTTCCATTAGTACTGGATCTGAGTGCAGACAAGGATTATATATAGCTTAGGTGGTGCCAACAGATAGTTTGTTTGCATTATGCTGTCATCACCATGACTTATTAAAACCACTCCCAGACAAAGACATTAGATTTACCTTATTGTCCCTCAAGGACCAAGTTTTAGAGCTTATAGTGGAGAGCAGAGTAGAGCAGATGAAGGCTGTAAGGCTTCCCACAGCCACCAAACTAATTTTTTAATGTTCCTGTGATGTTGAACCAGATTCATAAAGTTGGGTTGAAAGCAATGTTTTCATGAAGACTTTTCAGAAGCACTTGTACACAATTTTCCTGTCCTTTGTAAAACATGAAAATGCCAAATGCTGAGTTCTTCCTGTCTCAAGACTCTGACACTCTGTTGATAGAGTAACACAGGAGATCTATTAAGTAATATTTTCCTTGCCATATAAAACACAATGAGGAATCATTTCAGTCAGAATATTAGCACAGTAGTCATGCCACTAAGATCAACTTCAGGTCTCCTTCACCTGCACAAAGAAAACAGTTGGAAGTAATGCTTATTTTAAATAGGTCTAGGTTACCTTTACTCTCTGTCAAAAATTTCTTACAGAGAAAGTTTCCATTTATCCTACCGTGAAAATAGGTCTCTGTCATCTGCTTCAGGAAAGTACAGTCTGTTGAGATATTCCTGCTTGGTGGTGGGAGAAGTGACTGGCTGAGGCAGTAAGAGACAGCCACCCACATCTGCAGCCAAGATAGGATTGTTCTTATCTTAAGAAAACAACAAAATATGATCCAAACAAATGAACTGATCATTCACAATCTTTACTGACGGAATCATGATAGTGCACTGTTGACTCACTTTAACCTTTTTGGTGTCATGTCTCTTTCATTACAGTTTTAGGTTTTTTTCCACAGGGAGATATGCAATAAAGTTGTGAACTAGCAGAGGATGTTAGGTACACTGCAAAAAACTGCAGAAACAAACAGATGAAACATGAACTCCCTTAGAACAATGTACAACTCTGTGTTTTTGCCTTTCTTTTGTATTGATGATGCCCTTAGCTGAATGTCTCTCTTCCACCAAAGAAGTCAAACTCAATTTACTCTGTGTGCTTACCTTTTTCATGACACTTTTCAACTACCTGCATTCCCAGACCACTGGACCTCCAGGTTAAATATGTTTTGGAGTTAGATACACCTGACCCAATAGCCTTATGAACCAAGCCAAACTTCATCCTCTAGCAAATGTTGAAGGAATAAAAAAATGCAGCTTTTATGGTGGGCAGGATTTCTAACACAATTGGGTTGCTATGAGTAATTGTACGCATATTGTACTCAATTGTACACAAAATTTCTTGTCATCTCCATTTTTAAAAGTGAATTTTTTAATACCAGTAAAACTAAAATATAAACAAATAACTTAGATGAAGATTTATGCTTCAGAGCATTGCACTTCAGGTTTTTTTGGCATGGAGTGGGCACAAGTAAGCCAGCTGACCCAAACTAACTAAAGGGATATTCTATACCATTTGACATCAGCTCAGATATGAAAGCTAAAGAAAGGAGCAGGAAGCGGGGCATTTGTTGTTTCCAGTGGCTGCCTGCTAAGAAACCATTGCATGTGCTGAAGCCCTACTTCTCAGGAAAGTGGAAGTAGAGAATAAACCTTGTTATTTTCTGCTTCTCTTTTGTAGGTGCAAGCTTTTGCTTTTTGCTTTAGTAAACTGCCTTATCTCAACCTACAAGTCGTTTTCCATCTTATTCTCTCTCCTTTTATGGCTGGGAAGGGCACTTGGTGTATAGCAGAGGTCAAACCACTACAATCATATAAAGGTGTACTTAAGAGGTACTTCATATTGAGATTTGAAAATAGAGAAAATTACAGAAGAACAAAAGAGAAGGATATGCTGGAGGTTTTTAACACAGAGGAAAGACTGTAGGAGAAGATGACTAGGTCTTGTATTTGTGGCCACAAAAGACTGTGATCATGAACTTAGACTGAAAAAAAGAAGATAAAAATCAAAAAAAAAAAAAAGACATCAAGCATGGAACACAAGGGTACAAGATAAAAAAGAACAGCAGCTATTCTTACACAAAGATATGAGGAAGCCTGTAGTCTGTTTACATAGGCAGTCACACAATGCCAACCCATCTTTCTACTCTCCTGTTTGACACGTGTAAGAACAAACTTTCTGCAGTACCTTGCGCAAAAGCTCTTAGCTTACCAAGTCTATCAGCAACCTACTAGATGTTAGCACTCTCTGGAAACACAGTAAATTCCTTTCACTGTGAATAACTTTATTTGAAATGTATATCTCAGCCACATAGAACCTGCCACCCAAGGCAAGGTCCTCCCACTATCCAACTCCAAGGATAGCTGTTTGATGCCTCCACTCTCTGTGTTAGCAAGTGTGTTCACTTGTTGGTTGGCTCCAACAGAGTGTCCAGAGGTGACATGGGATGCTGAACAGAAAAGCTCCTGTGGGGAAAGCTTCTCTCATGCTGGTAAGGAGCCTAGAAAGCTGGGGACATGGATGATTCAGAGTTCCTTAATGGTAAATGAAAGAAAGAGGTACTATGGCCTGCCCTGCTTCTGGGGAGTTTAAAGGAGAGATCCAGTCCCTGGGAAATCTGTGCAGAAGAAGAATTTTAACAACATAAACACCAAACCAATAAGTGAAAGGAAATGAGAAAGGACATGCGTTCAATATGGTTATTATTTAGGTTTCAGCTCAATATATGGCATGGGCATGCTCTCTGTGGTGCTGGGCAATCAGATGAAAGAGAAAAGCTGATCACAAAGATGGTAAACTAGAGGATATAACATTGCAAACAACAAAGACATATAAAGATAATTTAACATTATGACTGGAGTTATATACAGCTGGATTCAAGGTAACTTCTCTTTATTTAATAGCTGTTTTGTATTGTTCATCCCACAAATAGCAAGATAACATCAAAAAAATTATGTTCTGGGAATATGTCCAGGGTTCTGGAAAATAGGAATTTAAAAAGAAATAGTTGAAGTCCTTCCTAAGTCTTAACAAGTGCCAAAAGGGGCCATGTGTCCATGACAGTGAGAATATAATGTTATCTACCTTATGAGCTGATTTCCTCCAGCATGTATCTGAATAATGTACCCTGATTTCAACATTTTTGTTATCCAGAAAACTTCTGCTTAAGAAAGAAATTGGAGCACACTCCTGAAAGATTGTGTACTTTATAACAGGAAAATCTCTCTGACTCATATACCTAAGCTGAATAAGAGAAAACTTATTCCTTCCCCACAGGACTCTGTGCAATAAATCTTGTGCATTACAACATCTACATTGAAAATGGCAAGTCAGTCAAAATGCAGAATTATCACCTTTAGCTATTTTTCATACATTTTTCAGTAGGGTTTTTTACTTCTTCTTTATTCCATAGTTGCATAATATATGAAAATAAGCCTTTTGATACTCTCAAGCTTATTTTGCAATTTATCATTTACTGGCTTTTACACATCAAGATGAAAAATACTTTTCAAGGTGTATATTTAACTTGTTTCAGAACACCATATTTCCTTTAACAGTTATGATTATTAAAATAATGTCTAATATTAGGGTAGAAAAATAATTTAAAAAATAAAATAAGACAACAGAACCAATCCTCCAAGGTGTTTTATAGATTAACTGATCAATAATATTTGAGTTCAAAACTAGACATCGCTAGACATGGCGAAGG